AAAAAAAAAAAAAAAAAAAAAAAAAAAGTACCTGTTCTCTCTGAGAGGCAAGGCTGGGGGGAGTAGTCGCCCACCCCAAAGGGACCTGAGCAAAACCCATGGCAAGGGAGGGTCTCTTTGCAATCCTGAGGCAGCCAAGGTTAGGGAGGGCACACAGTGCTGCTGACCCCACTGGGGAGCATCCAGCTCCTGCCCCCTACATGTTTCTCCCCGCAGACTGCTCCTGGCAATGGAACACAATGCTGCCAGGGAGACCTGGCGCCTGCACCCAGGAGGAGCCCTGAGAGTGATATCACTTGAGTGAGATAAGAGGGCCTCTCAGAGCTCAGGACTAAGGACAAATGAGTCCAGGCAGTCAGTGTGCTTAAAGCCGCCGAGCCAGAGAGAGCACACTGGCCTCTAGAGCTTCCACCCTGGCCTCCGACTCAGGTGTCTCAACAGCTGATTTTGCCTAATCTGGAAAGAGCCAGAAAGCTGAATAACCCCCAGGAAACTAACCCTCCCCCATGCCTATTGGAGGCTCTGGCCAGAGAAGTACAATGCCTCAGCAGGATGGGCAGGGGTCACAGACTAATGGCAGAGGCTCCAAGCACCACTTTCTCTCCTAAAGGAAGGGTCCTAGGGCATGGAAGGATAGGACACCCCCTCCCCAAGGGAGGTAGAAAGATTTCCTAGAAAATCTCCTTAAAGACAACAGAGCAGCCCAGGAATGTGTTCCCCTCCCCCCACCAAGTGCAGAGAGTTGTACAGTAAGCACACCCCCAGCCCAGCAGAAAGAGCAGACTCTGCACTCTCTGCTGCCTCCACCGCCAGGAAAGGACCCCAGCCCGCCCTCCTGGCTCTCCCCAGGCCTGACAATGGCAGTTTAGGAGAGCTCTCAGCCTCTACCTCTGTCCCCACTCTTAAGGAAAGCCCTCACGGAAAAGTTTCTGATCTCTTGAAATGGGAAAAGATTACAAAATCATGGCCCCCTCATCTGATCTCCAGACAGAAGCCAGATTCCCTCAGCGCAGCAGATACTTCCAAAAGGCCCAGGGGCCCATGCAAAGGTGTAATGAAGAAGCCAAGGCGTTTGCCTTCACTGGGTCCTATATTTTTTCATCCTCTCAACATCTGTAAAAACAAGGCTCAGCATGGGTAAGTGACCAAACTAAGATCATACAGCAAGGCATAAGTCAAAACTGCACCTGATGTCTAGAAAGGCATGAATTTTCCTTTTTTTTTTCTGAGACAGTGTCAATATGATTCCCTCAATAGAATGCTGTGGCATCACAGTTCATAGCAACCTCAAACTCTTGGGCTCAAGTGATTCTCTTGCCTCAGCCTCCCAAGTAGCTGGCACTACAGGCTCCTGCCACAACACCCGGCTATTTTTTTGTTATTGTTGTCATTGTTGTTTAGCAGGCCTTGCCTGGGTTGGAACCCACCAGCCCCAGTGCATGTGGCTGGTGCCCTAACCACTGAGCTATGAGCGCAGAGCCCTAATTTTTCTATTTTTAGTCAAGACACCATCTCAGTATGTTATCCAGGCTGGTCTTGAACTTCTGATCTCAAAGTGATCCTCTCACTTCGACCTCCATAAGTGCTAGGATTACAAGTGTGACTCACTACAACTGGTCTATTACTTTTTTTGGGGTAGAGACAGTCTCACTTTATTGCCCTCAGTAGAATGCTGTGGCATCACAGCTCACAGCAACCTCCAGCTCTTGGGCTTAGGTGATTCTCTTGCCTCAACCTCTCAAGTAGCTGGGACTACAGGCACCCACAACACCCAGCTGTTTTTTGTTGCAGTTTGGCCAGGGCTGTGTTTGAACCCACCACTCTCATCATATGGGGCTGGTGCCCTACCCACTGAACCACAGGCACCGCCCCACTTTTTTTATTTTTTAAATGAACAAATGTCACCTGGAATTATGGGCTTTTTTTTTTTTTTTTATGCTGCTGTGTTACTACCCTAGATTCTGGAAATCCTGTCTAAGCCCCACTGAGAACGGTCCCATTTAACTTCAGTGAAGAGGTTCAAGCTCTGGCCAGAGCCCCAGGAGCTGGGTTTGAGTCCTGACTGCCACCAGTGAGCACTTTAGGCAGATCACCAAAGGGAACTAAACCCAATTCCCTTCCTGCCCGTAAGATAAAGAAGGTGAACCATGTCTCCCACCACCTTGCCTCTGCTCACATGGATCCAGACTGTCTTCCTCAAAAGTCACTTCTGATCTTGACTTCCCTGGGCTGGGACACAGCTCTTCTGTGGCAGCTCTGCTCTTCCCACCTGGGATCTCTCCCGGCCCTTTTCCCTACCCAGTCTCTGCAGCCTGACAGGACTTTGAGTTACGTACGAACTCCCGCAGAGGGTTCCCCGGAGCCCAAGTAGGCAAACGAATTCCTAAGGGAAGGGGTGCGGCGTCTAAGCCCCGCCCTCCTCACCCTAAGCTCACCTGTCTCTGGAGAGAGCCTCAAAGGGCTGCACAGCAGCTCTCCTGTTTACAGCGGAGTTCTCCCCACAGCTAAAGCCCAGTGAGTGCACCAATTGTCCAGACAGAGCAAGTCAAGACACACTTTCTTCCGCAACACAGAAATTTCCACTTCTCGCCAAGTCCCACAGTGCGAACCCCACCCGTTAGCGTAGAAAACAGACTGGGTCTCCGCACAGTCTCCTAAAGGTATCCAAAGCCGCCCGGGACCTAAGTCCCTCCCGCGGGCTTCCTGCGTCGAGGGATTAGGAGGCACAAAGGAGCGGCAGGGGCTAAGCCGCCAGGGTAACGCGCTCTAGCCGCCGCTCGCGGAGAGAGGGTCAGGAGAGACGCAAGTCGCCGGACTCCCGGGCCAGGCGCTTTGCACGTGGGCCCGAGGACACCCCAATCTCCGCCCGCGGTGTTCCCAGCACCTAGCCGGCCAGGCACCTGTTCCCCAGCTCCCAACAGCCAATAGTACTGTGCAAACCCCAAACCCAAATCCGGTAATCAGGGGCGAATCAGGTGGACAGAAGTTCCCGGCGGCACTTTCTACAGGTGTCTTTCTTTCCGAGAAACCAAGCAACCGGTGCAAGGACGAGGTGGGCGGACCTGAGCGCAGCCCTCCCCGCCCGGGCTAGGAAGCCCAGGGGTCTCTGCCCTCCGCTGCCTCCCAACGCCGAGTGCCGGGCGCCCCAAGGGGGCGGGTCTGACTAGGTGAGTACAGCCCGCGCCTCACCTGGACTCCCCCCCGCCCGAGGCCTCCGCGTCCCTCGGCGCCGCCGCCTGCCCTGTGCGTTCCGCCGCGCCGGCCCACGGGCTGCTGGGCCGCGGTCTCCTTCCTGCTCACCTCAGGCACGGCGAGCCCGGGGCGGAGTCGCGCTATTTACATAAAGGGCGAGCCGGCCCGGCGGCAGATCCTCGAGCGCCCCGCCCCCCGGCCTGGCTCCACCCCACAGCCCTGCGCCGACGGGGCGGGGGCGCAGCAAGAGCGCCTTCGGGGGCGGGAACCGCACCCCGACCAATCCGCGGCCCCGGGGATTGAGAGGGCGGGCTCGAAATCTTCATGAATATGCAGGAACGCTGCCGGCCCGCCCCGGCCCTCACCTGAGCGCACCTGGCCGCAGGACGGCTCGCTGCGCCCAGTGTCCCGCCGCCTCCCGGAGGCGGAAATAGTTCCCGGAACCCGCGACCGCCTAGAGCCGCCTCCCAGGCCGGACTCCAGAGGCAAGCTGTCCTCCCACAACTCCCCCCAGCTGCCAAGGGAGGGGAGTAGCCGGACCAGCTCCTCCTGAGAGCGCTCAGCCAAAGGACAGGAGGACCCAGGGCCAGGTTTCGAGTCCCCGGGGGCGTCGTGGGTGAGACGCCTTCCCTCTGGGCGGGCCCCACCTCCTACGTGTCCACTGCAGTGGCAGGCAGGGGCCCAAAGCCCAGGGGAAAACAACTTCCGGAGTTTTACCACCAGCAAAGGAGGTCGTTGGAGTGGCAAGAGGCAGGAACAGAAGGAGCGTGGAGGCCTGGGGTGAGAACTGCTTGATCCAACTCAGAGCTACTGGTGGCCCCTCGGAGGGACTGGGGTTCAAGCCACACCAACGTGGAGCTTTTGGCCCATCCTCCTACTCTGACCCAGCTGCATTTAGGGAAGGATTGATAGAGAGCCAGTCTCCCTCTAGAGCACCCTTCAGGAACCTGGAAAGGTTTTAGGTCCTGTTCTTGTGGCAAAGCATGGGTGAGGAGCAGGGGGGATGTTTCAGCGATAGGGAGATGAAGGGGTAGAGAGGTGATCCCGTATATCCAGTCACAGCAGAAAAGAGATCTATTTTTAATGGCTTTGGCTTTATGGCACGAAGCAGGCACCCTCTTGTTAAAGGCACAAAGTCCTCTCTTCTGCCCCACCTCCTGGGTCTCTAATATCTAGTCCTGAGTTCCAAAGGGGTCACTTCAAGGCAGCAACCTTAGGCCCAGGGCTTGGAAGCACTGCAGTGGCTAGGGAAGGCTGGAAGCACAGTTTGACTTTCTTGCAAGTATGAGACACCCAGGGCCAAGGCCCAGACTGGCCCCTGCAGCTACAGGTCAGAGTCTGGGTATAGGAGGTGGCTGAGGTGGTCCCTAAGAACTGACAGTCCAGATTCCCCAGAGCAAGCTCCAGCCCCTACAGTGCTGTGTGGTCAGTGCTCCACATTCCTGGGCAATGTGAAGTCCCTGAAGCTGTAGAAGGAGATGTCACCGTGATCCACCAGGGCAAAGATCAGAGGGACATCACCGCTCTGGTAGGATAACCGCTTAAGGCTGCAGAGGTCTGGGACAGGCTCATCAAATCTGTAGGGATAAGGTTTAGAGTGAGACCTGGCCATAGCCAACCCATAAGCTCTAAGACCCCAGCCCCTCTGAGGCTCCCAAGGAAGGGAGATGTTATAAGAGTTGGAAGTGCAAGAATTCTGGGCCACTGGGGTCTCCAGTCTGTAGACTACATGGCCCTTTTGAGTTCTCAAAGATAGTTTGAGTCCTGACTGGGCAGGGCTAGGAATAGCAAGGTTCTCACCACTCTTAGCCTATAGACCCCTCCCATCCATATCCCTTCTGCTAGGCAAGCCCTGGACTAAGGTGGTATATGTGAGAGACTGCTCCAAAATGGCAGCAATGAAAAGCTTCAGGTTAGGGAGCTTGGGTTCCATCATGTCAACTCGCTGTGTGGTCTTCTGTAGGTCACTTAACCTCCTTGGACCTTAGCTTCCTCTCAGGGATTGGCCAGGCAGTGGAGAGAAGGCCCACCAGGGTCACAAGCAAATTAGCAACAGTATGTGTGTGGGGAGTGCTCACTCATGTCATACCCACTAATGCACATCCGCGCATAGGGTTTGCCAGGGTTATTCTTTCGGAAGGTGGCCACAACATCAGCCTGGTAAACATCAAAGCTGATTTCTAAGCCCGCAGATTTCTCCAGCAGCCTGAGGACAGAGTGAGAAAACTTAGGACCCAACTCTTCTCCAATTTTCCTTTCCATGCCATCCACCACCCCCTCCACCACTTCCAGGAAGCAACCTCACCCAAGGCAACTGAGGTTGTGAGGTCCCACTCAAGGGAAAGGGCACCAAACCCTTGGGATAAACCCACCTGTCTATCATGTCTCCTTCTCCCCCAGACACACGAACATCAGAGCTAGGCATGTGAGTTGGGGCCCCTAGAATGACTCTCACTCACACCCAACTTCAGAAGCCAAATCCCAGCCACCAATTCCTGCTGACAGCCAAGGTACAGTGGAGATGCACTTAGAAACTTACCAGGCACCCCCATCAGCAAGATGTGTTGTCTGCAGCACCGAGATATGCTGAAGGACCATGGCTACAAGGACAGTGAAAACAAGGTGCTGGGAAGAAGAGGCAACCATCTCCAGATTCCCCTGACATTTCTGAATCTGCCATCTAGTTTAAGATTGCCAGATTTAGCAAATTGTTTCAGTATATGTCCCATACAATATTTGGAACATATTTATACTGAAAGATTACTTGTTTATCTGGAAGTCAAACTTAAGTGCTCTGACAACCCTAACCTAGTTAGGTAGGATCTACCAAGTTCCATGAGGACTTTAAGTAATTCTGAATCTGTTAATACATTTACCTTAGGCTATGCTTACCCTATTAGTTCTCTGTGTTAGAGTGACAGTTAGCCTTCCTTCTATTTGGCCAAAATGGCATTTCCAAGATGTGGTAGGTGTCCCTAGAATGATCCTGTTAGCTCAAGATGGTTCCAGCTAACAGGGTTGGGAGAAGAGGGGACCAGTGCTAGTTGGGGACAAAGCCATCCACATGTACTTTTTTAGGATTTTAAGGATATAGTTGCAGTTTTCAGCCTTCCTCACTTCTCCTGGGGCACTGACTCATCATCTCTAAATCTTTCCACATGGACCCTGCCACTGCTACCAGGAGAACTGACCGTGCTTGTGGGTTCCACTCCATTGGACAGCGTACTCCCACACCTTTCTTAAGCCTCAACCAGTCCTGGACAATCTGTGTGCCTTTCCAAGGCTTATGACTCCTCAGCTGCAGCGGCCAGCAGGGCTGTAGCAGGGTAAGGCAGTACCTGGAGAATCCACCTGGCTGGGGTTCAGCAAAGGAGTGACAGGCTGGCCCCACAGGTGTGGGGGGCGGCTCTGGCTCCTCTGTAGGTATCGCCTCTGCAGCAGCTCCTTGTATTCCCTCCAGCTGGAGCAGCGCTGCACCTCAGGGTCCGCATTTACGTCCTCTCGGAAGGACCTGGCTTCTGCCTGTTGCTCCTGTTCCTGCCAGGAGAGCTTCTCCTTCCGCTGGTTCAGCTTCTGGCGCCAGGGTTCAGCATCTGTCTCCCTCCCAGCCACATTGGCTGGGACCAACTCTGGGGCTGGCGCAAGTAGGAGGGTGTGGCGGCTATCAGAAGCCACATTGGGGAAGGAGATCTGCTCAAAGTTCCAGCGTGGCTTCCGAGCCCCCTGGACTCCATTACCTACTTTTCTGCTCTCCCAGCTGCACCCCATACCCATACCCTGCTCCAAGGACCCCAAAAGCTGAAATGGGCTCACTGGGCCCTTCCTGGGGCTTGACTCCTGGGGTTTCTCTTCTGGGCATTGACTGTTCCGGTTGTGTGAAGGTAGGCTGGAAGTTGCCAGACTCTCGGGTTGCAGGGAGTTCTCCAGGGCCTTGGCCTTCTTATTAATGGACCTGAGGGAAGTGGGAAGAAAACCAGCACATCTGCTTCTAATTGCTGAGGCGCATGCATCCAGTGCAAACTGAAGAAGACAGGCCTGCTGTCTCCCTCAGCCTGTGCAGAAGCTGCCTAAGCCTCGCTCTTACACCTGTACATTCTCAAAGGTCCCAGACACCAGCACTCCCTAAGGGTAGCTATAATGGGGAGTATTACCAAGAACTGGAGGCCTTCCTCTTCTTCCCATCCTTGTCCTTCAAGCACTGGGTGCTGCCATCCAGGTTAAGCTGCCTCTCATAAGGGGATAGGATAGAGCTGTGGAGTAAGAACAGTGGATAAGCAACAGACCCATCTCCTCCGCCTGGTGTTCTGTAGGGTATGTGAGAAACAGGGCCGAGAGGATAGTCAATACACCAGGATACAAGGAACAGCCAAAGTCTTGGGCAGACCTGCATGGGGGATACATGGTATAGACACAGGGGCCCAGCCATGTGCCCAGGCCTCTGGTTCTTACCAACAGCCCCTTTTTTTTTTTTTTCTTTTGAGACAGAGCCTCAAGCTGTCCCCCTGGGTAGAGGGCTGTGGCATCACAGCTCACAGCAACCTCCAACTCCTGGGCTTAACCAAGTCTCCTGCCTCCGCCTCCCAAGTACATTCTCTACAGGCGCCCGCCACAAAGCCTGGCTATTTTTTTTGGTTGCAGCCATCATTGTTGTTTGGCGGGCCCTTGCTGGATTTGAACCCGCCATCTTAAGTATATGTGGCTGGCGCCTTAGCCACCAACAGCCCTTTTAAGCAGAGGCTCATTGGGATTGGGGCTCCTTAAGAGCCAGCAATAAATGAGTAATTACTGGCAAGAAAAACCAGAGGAGCTAGAAAACTTAGAAAGTAGAGAAAAATAAAGATGAAAACAAAAACATTGTCTGGGTGTAGTAGCTCATGCCTGTAATCCTAGCACTCTGGGAGGCTGAGACAAGAAGATCCCTTGAGCTCAGGAATTTTGAGACCAGCCTGAGCAAGAGTCACACCCTATCTCTACTAAACATAGAAAAATTAGCTGGGTGTGGTGGTAGGTGCTGGTAGTCCCAGCTAGTGGGAGACTGAGGGAAGAGGATCATTTGAATCCAGGAGTCTGAAGTTGCTATATGCTAGGCTGACGCCATGGCATCTTAGCCTGGGTGACAAAGACTCTGTCTTTTTTTTTTTTTTTTTCCCTGAGACCGAGCCTCAAGCTATACTCCTAGGTAGAGTGCCATGGCATCACACTCACAGCAACCTCCAACTCCTGGGCTCAAGCGAATCTCCTGCCTCAGCCTCCCAAGTAGCTGGGAACACAGGCGCCCGCCACAACGCCCGGCCATTTTCTGGTTGCAGCCATCATTGCCGTTTGGCGGGCCCGGGCTGGGGATTCGAACCTGCCACCCTAGGTGTACATGGCTGGCGCCCTAGCTGCTTGAGCCACAGGCGCCAAGCCAAAGACTGTCTTAAAAAAAAAAAGAAAGAAAAGAAAGGAAACAAAAAAACTTTGAATAACTACTGTTAACATTTTTTTTAAGTAAATCACTTTATTTATTTATTTTTATTGTTTTTTGCAGTTTTTGGTTAGGGCCGTGTTTGAACCTGCCACCTTTGGTATATGGGGTCGGTGCCCTACTCCTTGAGCCACAGGTGCTGCCCACCACTGTTAACATTTTTGTTTCTTAAATGCACATGCAGACTAATCTCTTTCCATATTTTTTTTTGATAAAAATGGCACTGCAGGCTCGGCACCTGTGGCTCAAGTGGCTAAAGCGCCAGCCACATACACTTGAGCTGGTGGGTTCGAATCTAACCCAGGCCCACCAAATAACAATGACGGCTGCAACCAAAAAATAGCCAGGCATTGTGGCAGGCGCCTGTAATCCCAGCTACTAGGGAGGTGGAGGCAGAAGAATCGCTTGAGCCCAGGAGTTGGAGGTTGCTATGAGCTGTGATACCATGGCACTCTACCCAGGGTGACAGCTTGAGGCTCTGTCTCAAAAAAAAAAACCCAAAAAAACAGCACTGCAGGACAGTGCCTGTAGCTCAATGGGTAGGGCACCGGTCCCACATACCAAAGGTGGCAGGTTTGAATCCAGCCCCAGCCAAACTGCAACAAAAAAATAGACAGGTGTTGTCATGGGCGCCTGTGGTCCCAGCTACTCAGGAGGCTTAGGCAAGAGAATTCCCTCAGCCCAGGTGTTGAAGGTTGCTGTGAGCTGTGATGCCACAACACTCTACTGAGGGCGATAAAGTAAGACTGTCTTCAAAAAAAAACAAAAGGCACCACACTAACATATGGCTTTGTGATCTTCTCTTTTCCTCTCAATAATATACTGCCGACATGGCCCCTTATCACTATAGCATCCTTCCCTACCGTGAATTTTTTATTTTTCTTTTTGGTGTTTTTGGCTGGGGCTGGATTTGAACCTGCCACCTCTGGCATATGGGGCCGGTGCCCTACTCCTTTGAGCCACAGGCGCTGCCCCGCTACCATGAATTTTGTATGGCTCTGTGGTTGCACCGTTCAATACAGTAGCAACTAGCCACAGGTAGCTATTTAAGTTAAATTTATATTAATTAAAATTAAATAAAATTAGAATTTCAGTTTCATGGTTGCTCAAGGCCTATACACTGGATAGCACAGACACAGAATTTCATTACTACAGGAAGTTCTATCAGTCAGAGCTTCTCCTGGGGATAAGCTCTATTTGTGTGAGCAAACCTCCATTGTTGAAGTCATAGGTTGTTTCCAAGTATAATGATTTTGCCATGTATGGTGTTTTATGCAAGCCCCTCACATCTGTGAGAGCAGCAATATTGCTCTCCTGTTCCTCAGCATCCAGGTCAGGGCCTGGCACCCAGTTTGTGGTCAGTAAATATTGCTGATCACTCTCACAGGTAAACCACTGCACACATTCATGATTATTTCTTTAGGATACTTCCCACTTTCAGGAACGCAGTGCCTGTTTTAGAGCTTTCACAACATACTATATAACTGCAAAGGCTCTACCAGTTTCCACTCCATGTCTGAGAATCTCAGTGGCTTTTAGCTATGCTAGATTACTAAGGTGAAAAGGGAAAATCATCCAACCTAGTATAAAACATGTGAACCGGAGCGGTGCCTGTGGCTCAAAGGAGTAGGGCATTGACCCTGCAAACCAGAGGTGGTGGGTTCAAATCCGACCCTGGTCAAAACCTGGAAAAAAAAGGTCAGTCTCCTTTCTGAAGTTTTGGCTCAGCGCCTATGGCTCAAGTGGCTAAGGAGCCAGCCATATACACCTAGGGTTGCAGGTTCAAATCCAGCCCAGGCCCACTGGACAACAATGATGGCTGCAACCAAAAAAAAAAAAAAATAGCCAGGCGTTGTGGCGGG